CTTCCTTCTGAGGAGTGGCTGGTGGGTTTGAACCGCCAGCCTTCTGGTTAGCAGTCAAGTGCCTTAGGCACTATGCTACCAGAGTCTGAACTATCAGGAAACCTGAGCGGCCCTACAGCCAGGCCCTCCCAGCACCTGGCAGGAATCCCGATACCGAGAACAGACATTAAAGGCGCTGACGGCTGACGAACAACCTGTATGGGATCCAACTGACAACAGCAACGCTAAAGCTTAGATAGGAACCTTAGGAGCAGTGAGTTTACGTTACTGCGTAAGAAAAGGAGGGCGAGCATGGTGGCGCAACTCAGAGAACGCCAGCACCTCACTGAGTTGTCCGTGTAGAAACATGAACGGGTGTTTGCTTTGCGGTGTTTGTTCCCAATAAAAACTAATAAAACTTAAAGGAACAAAAGGCGCTAACATTCGCAAAGAGGCAAAGCAGGGGCGGCGGGGCTTCCAACTAGAGGGGGCGTGGCTGGCCCGGTGGTCAGCCTGGGAGGCGGGGCTAGGAGCATGGGCGTGGCCACCCAGAGGGGCGTGGCCTCTCAGTGAGGTGTGGTCTCCAGCGGGACAACAAAATCGCGTTACCACGGAGTCGATTCTGACTCAGGCGACTCCATGTGCCGTGGAGCAGAACTGCCCTAGTGTGTTCTGGGCTGTAATCTTCACGCAAGCAAATCGCCAGGCCTTTCCTCCGCAGCACCACTGGGTGGATTCGAACCACCAACCCTTGCGTTAGGAGGCTCGCTGCAAGAGCTTGCTACCCAGGAACCTGGTGTGGGACCAGCGCGTAGGTGCATTCACTGCGCCCCGCCCCACGCCTGGAGCAGGAGGCGAGGCCTCAGAGGAGGGGGCGTGGCCTTACCCGTGACGTGGATCTCGTCCGAAGTCGGAGCCCGGATCTCCAGCTGCAGGCGCCCGCGGCGCTCCGTGTGGTCCACCCCGCACAGGGAGGGGACGCTGCGCACGCAGCGCCGGTGCACGTTCATCTCGCAGCCTGGGGGCACAACACTGAGGGGGTCGCACTGCAAGCCCCGCCCCAGCCCCAGGGTCTCCCCCCCCGCCCCCAGCATTTGCAGGCTGGGGCCTGGAGCCGCCCGCCGCTCGCGCCACACTCACACGAGCATTTCATCCCCTGGTGCACCAGCCCGTAAAGGAGGGAGCCACAGTGGTCGCAGAAGGTGGGGCTGCTGTAGCTGTGCAAGCGGAACTTGTGCTTGTTCCGGGGGTCCTGGGGGCGGAGAAGAGGCCGTCAGCCGCGGGGTGCAGGGTCTGGGGCCCCTGGGGCGAGCGCGCCTCTCTGCGCCTTTCCGCCTGGCTCTCTTGGGTGTTCCTGTCGCCCCCTGTCGCTCACTCCCTCTCCAAGCATTTGCCCAGCGCCCCCTGTGTGGCAGGCACCGTTCCGGGTGCCAGGAACCAGCGGGAAACCAAACAAGTAGCCACCCCTGTGCGCACGGCAAACCAGGTACGTGAATACAATAGCATGACGGTGGTGCCCGGGGGACCCCAAGCTCCCCGGGGTCCGGGGGAGCCGGACCGCGAGGGCCTGCTGGCATTAGGTCCCCTCCGGCTTTGACTCACGCTGACCCCATACAGGAGCACATCTGGCCGCCTGTGGCCCTGTAGGGAAGCGTTCGGCTGCCAACCGGAAAGCTGGCAGTTGGAACTTAGCAGCGGGTCCGCGGAAGAAAGATGTGGCAGTCGGCTTCCTTAAAGGCTGACAGCCTTGGAAACCGCACGAGGCAGTTGTGCTCTGGTCTCTAGGGTTGGTGTGAGTCAGAGCCCACTCCAGGGCAGTGGGTTGGCTTTGGGGTTGAGTCTTTAGGGAGCAGAGGGCCAGGTCCGTCTCCCTTGGAGCCACGAGGTGCGTTTCAACCTGGAGACTCCGTGTGACAGAGGACAGCCGCCCCGCAGGGTCTCCGAGGCTGTAATCCACAGGAACAGTCACCAGGGCTTTTCTTCAGCGGCTTCACTGGTGAATTCCAACTCCAGCTTTTCAGTTAACAGCCGAGCGCTTCACTAGTGCACCACCAGGGTTCCTTGGGACCGCGAGAGGTGGGATGTGTCCAGGCAAAGCCTCCTGGACAAAGAACACTTGAGCGACCCCTAAAGGAGGTGGGTGTCCATCAGCCTACAGTCCCTGCCTCCCATAATTTCTGCAAGCACCGCCCTGGGGACTTCAGGGCCACGCTGGGCTCCAGGTCATTCACTGCCAGCCTAGGTCAGCGTCTGCACTGGGCTCCGGCCTTCACCCGCTGTCTGGCCTGCCTTCGTGGGGTGTCATGGGGGACGGAAGCATGGCCCCTCCCTCACAGGGACCCCGGAAGCCTCCATGCAAGAAGAGCGGGGCTTGGTGTGTTAGCCACACCTAGTAGGGCAGTTACTGCAGCTCCCACATGGCCCCGGGTGTCCGTCCATAAGGGACGGCCCACTTCCCGGCTGTGGGGTTTGGGGCAAGTGTGTTCTGCGAGCTGCGGTTCCGTCCTGTCAAGTGAAAATAAACAGCCCCTCCTGAGGGGTAGCCGTGAATCGAATCCACTTGATGGCAGTGAGTTTGGGTTTTTTTTTTTTTTTTTTTTGGTTATCTTGAAGCAAAACGCGCTCTGCTCTGGTGGCATAGTGCCTAAGGCATTCCACTGCTAACCAGAAGGTTGGCGGTTCAAACCCACCAGCCACTCTGTGGATATAAGACTGGGCAATCTGCTTCCGTGAAGATGTACCACCTTGGAAAACCAATGGAGGTCGCTATGAGTCGGAATCCACTCGACAGCAGGGAGTTTGCTTTGCTGGTTGAGCCTGACGCCAAGCTGCGCCTGCAGTTTGGTGAAGCAGGCACTGAGGATGCCAACAGACCAGACGTCCTCCCCTCCCCCTCCCAGCCTGGTCTCCTTGTTAAATGATTTGGTATTTGCTATTTCTTCCAAGGATGCACTGAAAGACGTAGGATGGGGAGATTCAGAACTGTCTTAGACTTTCATTTATTTTGCTGTTCAATGTGGTTTCTGTTTTTGAGTGATATTGGCTGGGGAAGGCTGGGGGCGGTTGCCTTAATCGCTTTCAATGCTCTGGGCGCTAAAGGTCTTCAGATGACCCCCCACACACACACACTCAAAGGTCCCTGTGGGGCTAAATGACAGACTGTGGTGAAAGTCTTCATTAGAGTGTCTGGCACATAAGCCGTACAATGATAGCAGCTATTGTTAACTATTGTGAAGGTGACACCCAGAGCCAAACTGATTCCGACTCACAGCGCCCCTAGAGGACAGAGTGGAACTGCCCCACAGGGTCTCCAAGGCTGTCAGTCTTCACAGAAGCAAAGCCCAAACCACACTCACTGCCGTGGAGTCGATTCCAACTCACAGCGCCCCTAGAGGACAGAGTGGAACTGCACCGCAGGGTCTCCCAGGTTGTCAGTCTTTAAGGAAGCGGACCGCCTCATCTTTCTCCCACAGAGCAGCTGGTGGGTTGGAACACCTGACCTTTTGGTTGGAATCAGCTCAATGGCAACTGTTTTTGGGGGATTTGGAATCTTTCCCACCATCTTTCTCTGGAACACTTCCTGCAAATAAACACGCCCAAAATGACATGCAAATTCCCTGCATTGCCTACAACAGAAGGGCTTCCGAGAAGCGTCTGAGAACCATTTCCACTGATGAACCCTACGGGGCACGGTTCTGCTGTGACCCACCTGGGGTCGCCACGAGTCGGAAGCAACTCAACAGCAGCTGGGACTGCCCCTGGCATCCCCGCCTACCTGCAGGCTCTCGGGAGATGCAGAGGGCTCCAGCAGCTTGCAAAAGGGCCACGGAACTGCTAAGTGGTGGAGGCGAGATTCGAGCCCAGGTGTTCTAGATCTGGGGCCTGTGCTCACATGGGGGCATTCGCAATACCTAACCTCGTAGTGGTGGGCCGATTCAGCCCTATACTGTATGTAAGATACCTGCTGAGAGCATGCAATGAGTTTAGACAAATGAGATCCTGTTGTTGTTATGTGCCGTCAAGTCGGACCCGACTCATAGCGACCCCTCCTTGGGTTTCCGAGGCGGTATCGCTACGGAAGTAGATTGCCCAACCTTCCTTCCAAGGAGTGGCTGGCGGGTTTGAACCACCAGCCTTCTGGTTAGCAGTCAAATGCCTTAGGCACTACACCACCAGAGCTCCCAAATGAGATCTAGTGATAGTGAAAGGAACCCTGGCAGTGCAGCGGTTAACACACTCAGCTGCTAACCAGAAGGTGGGCAGTTTGAACCCCACCAGCCACTCCGCAGTAGACAGATGAGGCAGTTGGCTTCTGTGAAGATTGACAGCCTTAGAAACCCTGTGGGGCAGTTCCACTCTGTCGTCTAGGGGCGCTGTGAGCCAGAGTTGACTCCATGCAGTGGGTGGTTGGTGCTGCTAACCAAAATGTTGCCAGTTCAAACCCACCCAGTGGCTCCAGGACAGAAAGACCCGGTGATCTCCCCCGTAACAATGACCCCCTTCTGTGGAGTCGATTGTGGTGCACAGAGGCCCTATAGGTCAGAGGAGAACTGCCCGTAGGGTTTCCGAGGCTGTAAATCTTTATGGGAGCGCACTGCCCCGTGTTTCTCCCACAGAGTGGCTGGTGGATTCAAACCAAGAACCTTTTGTTTGGCAGTCTGACGCCTAACTCCTGTGCCCCCAAGGCTCCTTCTATAAAGATGACAGCCTAGGAGACCCCATGGGGCAGTTGTGCCCTGTCACACTGTGGCTGTGAGTTGGATTCCACTCCGTGGTGCCAGACAACAACCACCACAGTGTGGGTAGTAGAGGTGCCAGGTGGGCCAGTCACCAGTAAACCAATAATGCACACAGATGCTGCACACAGTCCAAACCAAAACCCAACGCACTGCCATCGACGTGGATCCGACTCACCACCACCCCTCCTTGGGTTTCCCAGGTGCTATCACTGCGGACATTGTCCAGTCCTCCTCCCGGGGAGTGGCTGTTGGGTTTGAACCGCCAGCCTTCTGGTTAGCAGTCCAATGCCTTAGGCACTGCACCACCAGAGCTCCCGCTGTGGACAACGCTGCTCCATAAATGTTCTACAAAGTCACATCCTTTATGGGAACTTTGATTCCCTTCATCCGACAAACTAGCAAAATGCCTCATGGACTTCTGTGGGTCAATCTGTCTGTCTGTCTGTCTGTCTGTCTGTCTCCACCCACTAATCATAAAACCATCCTCAACCCTGTGTCAAACCCCAGGCTAAACTCTTAACACGTGTGATCTCATTGACCCATCAGAACAAGCCTGGGGCTGTCCCCCACACAGCCGCTGGCCACACGTGGCTCTTTCATCGGAATCCTTTCCAATGACATGAAATGTAAATTTCCATCCCACAGCGGCCGCAGCCATGGTTCAAGAGCTCCAGGTCTCTTCCACGGCTGTGTGTGGCCGGTGGCCGCCCTACGGGACAGCACAGATGGGGCGGATTCCATTGCTGCAGACCAGCACTGCTGGTCAACATGTGACCGTCAGCCCCATTTCATGGGGGTGGGGAGGAAACTGAGGCTCAGAGAGAAGACCTGACAGGCCAGACAGCAAGGGAGGGAAGGGCAAGGCCGTGCGCCCAGTGTGACTATTCTTGAAAGCCTCCAGTGTGTCTCTGGAGAGACAGAGAGTGAGCTGTGAGTGCGTGCACACGTATGCTCTGTACGCACACGTATGCTCTGTGAGGGCCCCTGTAGGCACACGCACGCCTGCGTACCATGTCCGCCTCAGCGTCTCTCCAGCCCCTCTCCACAGGGTGGTCTCTGTCTCGCTGGGTCTCTCTGGAGCCCCCTCTCTTTTGCCCGGTGTCTTTGCCTCAGGTCCATTGCACTCTCCCCCTGGGTCTCCATTTCTTCCTACGTATCTCTTCCTCTCTCTGAGACACTCTCTGTCTTATCTCGGGATCTTGGCGTTGGCACCAATGTCTCTCTCATCTGTCCCCTACCCCTCCTGTTTGGAGGCTCGCAGCCCACGCCCTTCAGTGGCCAGCCTGGGTCCCCTCACCCCGCGTCCTCTCTGTCTCCTACCTGCGTCCCCAGACTTCTCAGGCCCCCCTCTCGCTTCCCCTTTCCAGGCCAAGGGCAGGGAATCTGGGCCACATGAGCTCCCCTATCTCCCCGGCCCCCCTCCCCTCCCAACCTTAAAAATAGCAGGAGAAATTGGGACGGACGCCGAGGGGGTGGGGGTGGGGCGCGGCCCGAGGAGGAGGAGCCAGGTGTCTGGGCACTCACGTCCGTCTGGGGGCCCTTCCCGGCACCTGGACACTCGAAGGTCACAAATTCGTGGCATCGCCGATGGACTACAAAGCTGCAGACTGCGGGGTAAAGTCAGAGACAGAGAGAGACTCAGGTAAATCCAGAGAGACCCCGGAGCCGGGAAACCAGAGAGAGACAGACAGACAGACAGACAGAGACCCCAACACAGAGAGAGACCCCGGAGCCGGGAAACCAGAGAGAGACCCCGGAGCCAGGAAACCAGAGAGAGACAGACACATAGAGAAACACTGACCGAGACAGGCAAACGGAGACCCCAACACAGAGACCCCAGAGCCAGGACATCAGAGAGAGACAGACAGACAGACAGACAGAGCCCCCAACACAGAGAGAGACCCCGGAGCCGGGAAACCAGAGAGAGACAGACACATAGAGAAACACTGACCGAGACAGGCAAACGGAGCCCCCAACACAGAGAGAGACCCCAGAGCCAGGACATCAGAGACAGACAGACAGACAGACAGACAGAGCCCCCAACACAGAGAGAGACCCGAGAGCCAGGAAATCAGAGAGAGATACGCCAACAGAGAGAGAGAGACCAACAGACAGGCAGAGACAGAGACCCCAACACAGACAGAGACCCCAGAACCAGGAAATCAGAGAGAGATACGCCAACAGAGAGAGAGAGACCCCAACACAGACAGAGACCCCAGAACCAGGGAATCAGAGAGAGATAAACGCCAACAGAGAGAGAGAGACAGACAGAGACGCCAACACAGGAAGCGACCCCAGAGCCAGGAAATCAGAGAGAGACATGAATAGAGAGAGAGACAGAGACCCCCCACAGAGATAGATGGAGAGACAGACCCAACATACACAGAGAGACAGAGAAAACCAGGAAGAGAGAGAGACCCAACAGGAAGAGAAGAGAGACCAACACCGGGAGACAGGCAGGACCAGAGACCTGGGGCTCTCAGTGGGAGACACGGAGCGCAGAGACCCGGCAGGCACACAGCCCAGAGAGGAGAGAGACTCCAGACGGAGACAGACCCAGAGGCTCGCAGAGAGCAAGCGGGTACTCTCAGATGGAGCGGGGAGCAGCAACTTGGGCAGAAGTGAGTCTGGGGGCGCTGGCTGCCGCCCCCCTGCCTGACTCACTGACTCACGCTGTTCTCGGCGGGGGCAGCTGGCGCCGCAGGGCTCGCCCCCCTCTCCCGCCCCCCGTCCTTGACGGCCGCCTGTCCCCCCACCAGTGACCCCACCCGGCCTGCTCCTGCCTAGGACGGCTCGGGTTGCCCTGGAGACGGCAGCCCGGGGAGGGGGGGCTCTGACAGCATCGCCAGCCCCCCTTCCTTCAGCTCCCCTTTTCCAAGTCTCTCCGTTCCCATGGCAACAGATTCTCCAAATATCTGTCCCCACCTGGAGCCGGCCGAGGGAGGGCCCCGGCACCACCTCCGCCTGCGGCCCCGCCATCAAAGCTGCCTCCCAGCGGCAGGCGGGG